CTCTGCAGAGCCCTCCTCCCCTCGAGCAGATCAACACTGCCACCCAGTTTGGTGTCGTCTGCAAATTTACTGAGGGCACACTCAATCCCCTCATCCAGGTCATTGATAAAGATATTAAACAAGACTGGCCCTAGAACTGGGCCCTAGAACTGGGCCCTAGAACCTCACCAATGACTCGCCTGTTAAAACGGTGCCATCCTCCACTCCAGCCGTCCTCTGCAGATACTCAGAGAATATTTACATTGTCTCAGTGAAGAAGGGCCCTGCCTGTAAAGAAATGCGTGACCACAGATCTGTCCCTAATAAGCTCATAATAAAAAAGAATGAGGAAATAAAAAGGTATTTGCTCAGTAGGAAACATGCCATTCACCTGCCAAGCCCTTGTAGGACGAAAAACCACAGCTTTAAGTAAAAAGTATTTTCAGATACGTATGGGTGTGCCTTCTGGTTTTGAGAGGCAGTGCTGAAAGAAACACCTTGAAAAGAGAACAAAGGCACCCGTCGTGGTTTCAGGACATGGTGCCAGCTTTTGTCACCTGGCATCCTGGTACTGAAGGGGAGGAGGGCAGGCACCCAGCGCCCTGAAAGCAGGCAGGAGCAGCTTGTGTCTGAGCGAGAGGAAAGGCAGAGCCGGTGAGAGAACGTGGTAAGGGGGGGTCACTTGGTCCAAGTGATGAGCAGTGTCTTTGGCGTATGACGTAGGCTGAAGTCGTCCTACGCATTTCTAGTGCACGACTGTGCCAGAATGAATTCAGTTCCCTTCATTTTCCTTCCCCAGGTAATTGCTGCTGAGGGTGAAATGAACGCTTCCAGGGCCCTGAAAGAGGCATCCATGGTTATTGCGGAGTCCCCTGCTGCTCTCCAGCTTCGTTATTTGCAGACCTTGACCACCATTGCTGCGGAAAAGAACTCCACCATCGTCTTCCCCTTGCCCATAAATATGCTGCAGGGCATCATAGGTGCAAATCGCTAGGCAGAGGGGGAGGAGGGAGCTTGGGGGGGGAGGGTTTGCTGCAGTGAATGTTTGCAACACTGAATTCCCTGTGTAGCGTAGCTTATGGCGCTGTTAACAAAGCGGATTTGCTGTGGAACCTCTTCTGTTACACTATGTGTGTTATAAAACTTCTGTGTAATGTTTGTGAATATGGACAATCAAAATCATTTGAAATTGAAAGCCTCTCAAAATGCATACAAGCAGGTATCTTAATAAGCATCTGTCCTGGATGGGACGCCTTCAATCTCTAACCTGCCATTTTCAAATAGCATATAAAACCATTTGTGGGGAAGATGAGACGACCCAACAGCTGGCAAGAGAAGTTTTCCTTTTAATAAATGGGTCTGTAGCCCGGCAAGGGAAGCGGAGCAGCCCTAACTGTGCTCTCTTGGGGCATAGCTGCATGTGATGAAGTCGGCCAGTTGCTGTCAGGTGGATGGGTTCTCTAGGTTACGCCAGGAAAAGGAATGGAAGCCGATACAGGAGCGAGAATACTAAACTGGGTACTTCCGAAATCAGGCTCGTATTCCCTAAATAGTCCCCCGCTCCTGAGAACCAGTTGTTAGCCAGTGTCACTGTAGTGGAACTTCCCATCTCTGTTCTGGCAAACAGAAACAGCATAACCATGCTGTGGTTATGGATACGACGTGCTTGCAGTCGCTGCGGGGCTGTTCAGGCGCTACGTGGTGTGCCTGTACAGATTTATGCTGCTTCAGAGCACTGACGAGTTGTTGGGTCTGCCTGGATCTGTCCCTCTTTAAAGTGATTGAAAAAAGCCAAAGTACTGATGCCTGCATTTTATCCAGGTCTAAAACCTGTGTCTCTGGGAAGTGAGATCTCTGTAATTAGCCGGGGGGGGGCGTGTGTTTCACAGAAGATGCTGTCCTGTTTATGTAGCTGCTCTAAGAAATCAGCCCTTTACCTGTTGGTGCTGCTGCTGAGCAGACCTGGACCATTCGCTGTGACACCAAGGGCTCATACTGAGTACCAAAAGCATGTTATCTTCGTTGGTGTGGTCTTGAGCTGTAAGTCTGTTAGGCTGTATTCCTATGTTGTACCTGTGCAGCAAATGTAGTTACAGATCAAAATGAGAAGAATTTGGAGTCTGCAGGGGAGGCTTTAGGCTACCACTGCCAAGGTTGGCATCTGGTCTTTAGTTACGGGGAGGTGGTAATGAAAACAAAAAGCCAAGATCAATGATGCAAGTGTCCTTCTCACACTGGCCAGCAAAAAGTTCCTGACTTGTTTTTTTTCTCCTTGCTACTGCCGTCAGTCTGTACTGACAGATATTTTAGCGAGGCCGAGTCTGTTTACCTGTGCCTTGACACGCTGTGCCTTTGTCGCTGGTAGGGGGAGATGCCCAAGCGCTGCAGGGGCGGGAGCCGAGGGGCGCTGTTTCTGCCCTGCCTGTTTGCTGTGAGCTTGCTTTTTTGCCTCTATATCGTGTACGCACACCCGGACGGGTACGTTGCTTTTGTCAGCTGATGTAAGCTGAGCTTGACTTGTGGTGGGAAATACAGTTAACAAAGGTGTAATAATTAGCATTACTGTGCTCACGCACTTGAAGTGGGGAAGCGAGTAACGGCACGGCTTGAGGTTAATCCTTGGGGGAGAGGAGTGAATCTGTAACTCCCGCTGGTGCTGCTGTCGAGGGCCACCCCTGTGAATTCTTGTTGACACCAGGAGCACGCTTTTTGCTCTCAGCCTGAATAAAAAAACCATGCTGTTTACTAACGAGTGCCTTTCTGAAATTCGAGTAGAGTACTGTTGATTTATCAGGGTCTTAAATGCTAATAATTCTGGTGAGGGGAAAGCAAAACAATCCCCAAACCCCCAAAATAATTTCCGTAACCTTTTACTAAAACGTGCGTTCAAAAGATGGCACAAGGAAGGTTTAGTTTTCCACAGTAGATTTGTTTCAAGCGAGTTCAAACATGAGATCTACAGGTTCTGTTTAACATTTTCTTCCTGGTAACAAACCCCACCATTTCTACTCTTCACATATTCCATACAAGCTTTATTGTATTAAATATAATCAAAGCAAGGAGCAGGGTCAATGGCTGGTCATGATTGTTTTCGGTAATTATTGCACAGCTAATTGGCTATTAACATCGTTGCCTTGTTAACATGCATCCTGCAGGAGGAAGTAGCTCTTGAAGGCACTGAAGGCACTAAACTTGTTCCATTTAAAAAAAGAAAAAGACTTGTTACTTAGACATCCACATCTGCCATCGCTCTCTGTAGCGGATCAACAGCCCAGTAGTCGTCGTCCCAGCCCAGGAACCAGCCGGAGAAGGTTGGTGGCTCAAACCCTTGCTTAATGACTGTGACTGGAGTTCTCTTATCGCGACTGGCCGGATCGGTCTCGATGTACCGTTTAGCTGAAAACACACGACCAAGAGGGAATTCTCAGAGAGTACAAGTACAGCTGAAACAACTGAGTTGTAGCTAAATGGATGCTAGAGAGAAGATTTCAAATTGTTCATTTAAACAAAAAAAACCCACCCATAGAAGCTTTCACTCCATGGTTTTATCTACACCTGTTAGAAGGCTGGCATTTGTAGAAAACAGACGTTAGGGTTACAAAATGCTGTAATGCAGGGGCAGCCTACACCCGCCTGCCCGCCCGAGGAGGCTTTGTCAGTGGTGGGGTTAAGAACAGCATTGGGTACCACACCTCTTCCTGCTAGCTTAGGGATCCTCCTTTCTTGAGAGGAGCAATCTCTGACTGATGGCAGCATTGAATTTTATGTTGTGATTAAGGTGTGTCTCGCAGTCTATTGTTGCCTGCCTTAGATCAGATAGTGGGGAAACAAAGGGTTAATTCAAAGAGGAAAAGGGGACATTACCAGATTTCAAAGCCTCAGTCTTTTCTTCTTCTTGGGCATCTTTCCCAATCCATACAAAAACCTAAAGGTAAAAAAAAAAAAAAAAAAGTATGAATTATTTCAGCAACAATCAATCTCTTCATGAAAGCAAGGATAAGAGCGTGACACAGAACAAGAACATACTCGTGCTGGCATGCCTGGGTTGTTGACCTACATGACTAAGGCTAGTGGTAGATAACGAGAAGCTTTCTGACTGCGTTTTATCTATGTAAGTTCTAGCTACATGAACAAATCCTCCGCTAGCTTAACATCAAGGAGAGTAGCAGATGTTTGAACATTTTTACATAAAACAGAAAATTCATCTCCTAAGTTGCCTTTTGGCTGGTTTATGCAGTCTGTTATTGACAAATAACATGCTGTGTCAGTGTCTTGAGCTGCTGAATCCTAACAGTGGCTCACAGCCCTCTCCAGCCAGATCAAGGCCGCTGCCCTCGGGAAGCCTGCGGACGGGGCAGTACGGGGATACGCCGCTGCCTGTTTTCTGCAGCCCTTAAGCTGACCAAAGGAACAGCAGGACACCAGCTCTTTTCTCAAGGTGCGGGTGTAAGTCCCCTTCAGTGGTCCTAGCGAGGTGATTTGCTCTCAGGCCTGAAGATGAAAGGACTCCCATCGTACAAACTCTTCCAGCTATTGTAACCTGGGTCTCGATCTAAAGCCAGTTTGTGCCTATTTGCTTCCCTCTTCCCCAGGTGACTGTGACACACCTGATCCCATGTGTCAAGGAGCATAACATCGTCTGTAGCAAGGTCATCCTGAGTCAGATCTCCGGGAATCTCTTCAATCTGGAAAACACACGGTTAAAGGATGAGCACATACTTCAGGCACCATTTTACCTTTACAGGAGAAATCCAGTTCACAGAGGTTCCAGTTTCACCTCTTGTTGGTGACATGCATTAAGTTAGACACTGGCACAGTATTTGACCATGCAACTCGGGCTTGGTCAACGCCGCAGAAGTGTTCTTAGACCACAAAATCTGTCTGTCTGCCTAGAGAAGCTGTCTTTCACTCACCCCCGAGACTTGTAACACTGCTGCTTTTTACTTGAAAGATTCAGGAGTTAGAAGTTGAGGAGCCTGAATGCGAGTTGTTAACCAGGGCAGGACTGGTCTGATGCTTTGGGAAGTTGCTGTGCTGACACAACAGCGCAACAGAACCAGCTGCTGTCTCTGCAGAAACACGGTGCCGATGCTTTGCTTCTGGGGCAACACCGCGAGGGAAGGGAAGGTCTGACAGCCTGCTGGCTGGCTCGGGGCAGGCTGGGACCGAGCGCCTCCCAGCTCTGTCAGCTGGATGTTGAGTGAATTGACTCTCCTTAGGTACTCACAATGAAGCGTCCGCTCTTGTTGGAGCATGCAAAAAGACGAGGGGGGTGAGCATCCATCTTCTTGTCCTTCAGCCGGGGAGAGGTACGGTAAGGAGCTTTTCCACCCAAAGCTGCCCAGAAGTTCTCTGAAAAAGAGAAGGAGATGCTGATGCTTCAGCTGTTCATGGAAACCACCGGAGCAGCACGGTGTGGGTAGGACTTGAAGCACTCTGCTACGTCAGAAAGTCCCAACGGCCTACAAACACAAGTGCACTGTTAAATATAAGGAAGGTATTTGGGAGAAACCTCTCCGTGCCTACGTCCACATTTCCTTCTTCTGAGAGACAAAAGGAAAATACCCATGGGGTAGTTACTGAGAATGTGCAGCTACACAGAAACGATCTGGGACTGTACTGTGCCTCCCTCACCTGGCTCTCTGCCCTCAGAAACTTGTACCGGGCGAGCTCCCAGTGTCTTCAACAGCTCTTGTGCTCCCGATTTCTCAGCATCGCTGGCTCCTTGGCCAACCCAAAGGTAAGCAGCAGAGGGAGTTTTCAGGACAAAGGCATCATTGGAGTTCAGCTGACTGGCAGTAGGATCCAGCTGAAAAGAAACAACATTGTGTCTGTCAGATGTAATCGTCCTCTACACAGAGCCCGTTATTTCAAAATAAAAATTAATCGTTGAATAAACTGCAAACAAGATATTCCATACAAGCATCTAAGGTTATAAGATACGTTGTAGATATTTGCCTGTATCGAGTGATAAGTTAAGACTTAATCATATGAGAAGAGTAAATAAATGTGGGTTTCTGTGTGTAATCTACAGATACATATGACCTATGGCAAGAATGCCTGGATCTGTCATTTTGCCAGTCTATGGTTATGTCAGGAGATAAAAGAACTTGCTGTAGAGCCCACCATACAGCAATATCCCTGCTGCTGAGGCCGATGAATCATTAATGTCATTTCCTCTATGTCAACAAGGCCATGCCATCTTGAAGCCAGAAACTTAGGAAGCTGCTGCAGACATAAGCCAGTGCTCCTGCCTCACCTGCAGCCATTGACAAGGATTTAGTCTCTGTTGTTGCTGCACAGGCGGGTTTTTGTGTGTACATTTTCTTTCAAAGGAGTAGGGCACACGTTCTATTTGCATATGGGGTATTTAGCACTTTCTGTCTTCAGCACTGTTGCCACACAGGCTCAGAACAAGTCACAATGGCCAGATCCTAATGGTTTTCAACAGTTTGAAAAGTATCACAGTATGTGAGGTGCAGCATCTAAGTGGGGACTTGCAAGAAAATAGCTTAAACGTATTCAAGGTGATATTTATAAACTAATTAGAAAATAATGATTATCACTACTTATCCATGGGAAAAGAGGAATCTTTTAACAGTTGGAAAAGTTTTCAAAGTGTGTTTCAGTTTACATCCGAAAGCTCAGTTTGTTTCTGTTCAAAGGGATCACGTTCCCATCACAGCCTATGCATACGACACGGAAGCTGACCCTTCCCACATACCTCCACTGCTCTGGTAGCTCCCGAGGTGCTGGATCGGACCTGGAACAGCCGTGTTTCTGCAGGTGCTGTCTGGCCCCCTTCCCTAGAGGTTCCACCCTTGTAAACAATCAAGGGCTTCCCACCAAACATGCTCATCAGATGAGGTGGCTCTTTTCCTTGCACCACTCGTTTCTAGAGAAGAAGAAACTTGCTGTCAGTTTTAAGCTGCTGTGGAAGAGTAGCACAAGATATACCAGAAACGGCCTTTACAACCGTCTTTCCAGCTGGAATATTCGTACAGCACCCAGCTGGTCGCAGGAGTTTTGCTATTCCCTCCCGTACAAAAACAGACCGGTGTTTCAACGGAGCTCTCACAATTGCCATTCATTTCAACTGGTGAGTGAGCCACTGGCATGGAGGTAACAAGCAACAGCCGTAAAAGACCTCCTGTCTCATACAGGCCGCTTATACAACTTCCTTGCGTAACAGCTGGAGTGTAGGTTAGGCACAGAGCCACTCCAGAACACCCATTCCACAGCTGCAGGCTGCCACTACATGACTGGGTTTCTCCACTGCCAATTGGTATCATATAACTATATATATAGTTAAGATTTATTCCCAGTGTGTTGCATTTTTTTGGTTGGTTGGGTGGGTTTGGGTTTTTCACCTGCACAGGGCTGCCTCCCAGCTCCTCATCCAGCTGTACTGTGAGGAATGCAGAGGTGGTAATTTCATCTTGAGTGGAATCAGCACCC